TTGTGATATGTTGAATTATAGTTGATAAGGCAAGTGTGGATGTGATGTAGTTATTAGATAAGTAGAAGTTGAGTGTAGGATAACAATTATTGACTATAAAAGTGATTTGGATTTTTACATTGAGAAGTTACAACAAATATGAATAGATTGGTAGGAATAGCATGTATGTGGAATGTTTTGGAGTATTAAGGGAACTTGAACTTGAGGTTATGACGTTATAATAAATGTAACTAGAAAAATGGGAGAATGAGAATAAAAAGAGGAATGTTAAGATGGAAATTAAATGAGGAATATTTTGGAATGGATTAATAAATTTAAAATGATGTTGATCCCTAAATATATTTGTTTTCAAAAAAGAAAAAAGAAAAAGGGATTTATGGTTTTCTAATAAAAAGGGATAGTTTTTCATGGTTAAAGGTTTTCCTTAAATGTTCAAATAAATTTTGAGAAAAATGTACTTTACGTATGATATTTTGAAATTACAAAACATTACTTTACTATATGGTATCACCTTGCATGCATGATCATTTCTATCTATAGGATGGCTATTGCTTTAGAACTATGAGATTCCCACTGGGCAATTGTGCTCACCCCTCGTTGTTTCCTTTTTTTACAGGAAGAGAATTCGAATTGATTGGTTGAAAGATTAGGAAGTTCATGTAGATCTTCTGTGCAATCTCTTTGTACTTTGATGTTTGTAATTATTTATTTGTAACTCCGTAGCGGGAGCTTGGCATGTATTATTATTTTTGTTGTATTCATCATGAGAAAGAACATATACTATCATGTTTCTATTACTCAAGGGTAATAGATCTTTTTTATATATAAAAAAAAAAACAATGGACCTAAATTTCAAGCTCTTGGTAATATTTTCGAGTAATTAAAATTCGGGGTGTGACAAGATGACATTTTGCTTTTTGCTATACCAGGAAACCAAATTATTCTTAAGGTAAAAACACCCTCCAGATGTGCTCTTACGATCATCAGCACACCCTGTCCATTCGATATTAGAAAAACCAGTGATTTCGGTTGTAGTGTCGGTCGAGAACCAAATCCCATACCCCAATGTCCCATTAACCTACTTAATGATGCGTTTGAATGCAAGAATATGAGACTCTTTAGGGCAGGCTTGGTAATGGGCACAAACACCTACACTAAAATGCAATGTCAGGTCGACTGGCTGTAAAGTACAAAAGACTCCTTATTATACTCCTATAAAGGATAGGATCAACATCAGTACCAGAGGAGTCTTTGGATAGGTGAAGACTAGTGCTCATGGGAGTGCGCGAATGTTTGGACGACTCTAGACTGAACTTAGACACAAGGTTTTTGGCATACTTGGTATGAGAGACAAACATACCTGAAGGAGACTATTTAATTTGAAGACCCAAGAAATAAGACAACTCCCCCATCATGCTCATTTCAAACTCATGTGTCATGCAATCCGAGAAATATTTCACAAGAGAATCAGAAGTGGATCCAAACACAATATCATCAACATAAATTTGAGCAACAAATGTATGAGACTTAGTATGTTTCACAAATAAGGTTTTGTCCACACTATCCCTTTGAAAGTCATTATCAAGAAGAAAGGTAGTAAGTCTATCATACCAAGCTCGAGGGGCTGGTTTCAACCCATACAACACCTCGTCTAACTTGTAGACATGGTGTGGACATTTTGGGTCTTCAAACCCTTTTGGTTGCTCAATATAAGCCTCTTCTTTCAAGTATCTATTCATGAAGGCACTTTTCACATCCATTTGAAACAATTTGAACCCTAGAAAGCATGCAACACCAAGTAAAATCCGAATAGATTCGAGACGTGCAACAGGAAAAAACGCCTCATCATAGTCAACACCCTCTACTTGAGTATAGCCTTGAGCAACCAACCTAGCTTTATTTCTAACCATAGTACCATTCTCATCAAATTTATTTTCAAATATCCACTTGGTACCTATCACATTCATATCTCTAGGTCTGGAGACAAGAGTCCAAACTTTGTTACATTTAAATTAACACCCTCTACTTGAGTATAGCCTTGAGCAACCAACCTAGCTTTATTTCTAACCATAGTACCATTCTCATCAGATTTATTTTTAAATATTCACTTGGTACCTATCACATTCATGTCTCTAGGTCTGGAGACAAGAGTCCAAACTTTGTTATGTTCAAATTGACCTAACTCTTCATGCACATCATTAACTCAACTATCATCCAGTAAGGCCTCTTTTATATTTTTAGGTTCAATTAACGACACATAGCACATATGAGATACCTCTTCCTGAATTTGTTTTCGGGTTTTCATTTGGTCTGAGACACTTCCAATCACCTGCTGAGCTGGATGATTCAGTTTTACCCTTGCTGATGATTTTAACTCTGGACTGATAGTGACAAGAGCATCAGAGGTGGTGTCTGTTTGTGCACTCTTTGGACTCGGACTTACCATTGAAGTTGGTGCCAGCTCACCTTCTTGGGCTTAACCCTGTGCTTCTCCTTGTTTTTGTGGTTCAATATCCAAGATTGAAGATTGACCATATTCGTTCTCGTGTATCGCTGGCATAGGAGAACCTGTGTTATCTATAACCACATTGATTGATTCCATTAGAGATAAAAGTACGCAGGTTATAGACATGAAAAACTCTACTAGTGGTTGAATACCCTAGAAAAATATCTTCATTACTTCGAGAATCAAATTTGCCCAAAGGCTCTTTATCTTTGAAAATGTAACATTTACTCCCAAAAGTTTTGAAATATTTTACATTAGGTTTCAACCATTTCCACAATTCATATGGAGTTTGTAAAGTGTCGGGCCTTAAATACACACGATTCATAACATAAACAACGGTATTTAAAGCTTTAGTCCAGAACTTAGGAGGAACTTTCTTGCTAAGGAGCATGACCCTAGCCATCTCTTAAATAATCCTGTTCTTCCTCTCAACAACTCCATTTTGCTGTGGAGTAATCGGTGCAGAAAACTCACGCTTAATACTATGCATATCACAAAAATTTGAAAACGAACTATTTTCAAATTCACAACCATGATCAGTTCGGATTCTTATGATACGCCCAATAGAAACACCCTGTTCATTTTGGATTTTAAGGACTAAAGCCTGGAAAGCATTAAACATATCAAATTTTTCTCTTAAAAAATTAACCCATGAAAAACAAGTGTAATCATCAACAGTTAAAAAAATATATCTTTTACTTCTAATGCTTTTAGTACGAGTGGGTCCCATAAGATCCATAAGAACTAGTTCAAGAGGACGTTTGGTTGCGAAGATGTTCATCTTTTTGTGAGGGGCACGAGTTTGCTTCCCAAGTTGACATGGTCCACACACATGGTTTACATTTTTATCCATTTTGGGTACTCCTTTCATAAGCTCTTTGTTGGCTATCTCTGGATAGGTCCTTGAAATTCATGTGATCTAATTTTTTATGCTACAGGTCAAGATTACTTATGACGGCCGAGTGACATGTGAGATTATTAGTGGTACCAATCCCATAGCAATTATCAGATGTGCGAACCCTATGCATGACAATATTTCCCTTTTTATCTAAAATTTCAAAAAAAAAAAATTGAAAATAATACTTCATGATGAGAATCACACATTTGACTAATGCTCAAAAGATTAGCTTTAAGGCCATCAACAAGTAAGACATTTTCGAACTTAGGAAGACAAGCCACACTTATAGAGCCCTTACCAATGACATTTTCGAGTTTAGGAAGACATTTTCGAGCTTAGCTTTTTTGGGGGGGAGATTTGGTGATCACTGTCTAAATTGTCTTTTAAAGGGACAAGAATTATATAGGGTGGTGTTTGGAAAGTTTGTGTGTTGGGTTTTTTTTGATTTTTTCCACTAAAAGACAAATTTTTTGCAAAATCAAAAAAAAAAAAATCCAAACAAAATATCACATCCAATCTCATAATCATTTCACTTTTTCTTTCACAAATATCACATCCAACTACAAAAAAATCCAACTATCTTCCCAAATACCAAAAATTTTTTATCTAATAATATCCTACAACTAAAAAAATCTACATAAAAACCCACTTCCCAAACACCCGCAGATACTTTCAAAACCCCCTAATATTTTAAAACTTTTTTCTTTTACTATACTACCTATGTATATATATATATATATATATGTATGTATCTATCAGCTTTCCTATTAAGACATCCTCACAGTGCATTTCAGAGTAAAATTTTACTCTGAATCAGAGTAAAATTTATTATTATTCAAAGTAAAATTTTATATCGTTATACAAATCAACATGTTTTTAATTAGAATAAAATTTTACTGTTACAAAAAATAAAATGCATACAAAATGAACGAATCAAAATTAAATTTTAGGCCAAGTTTGGCATTCTCCAAAAAATTCAAAAAGTCAAAAAATCACTATCCTATTTAAGTCACATCATTTTATTTAAGTCACATCACCTCTCTAACACATCACTTCAAACCCAACCCAAATTCAACCCATATTTCATAAAAAGTCAAAAAGTACACTTATTTAGCCTCTGTTTGGGAAGAAAAAGCCCAGGCTTTTTTGGCTAAAATAGCCACAAAAAACAAAATAGGCTATTTTAGCCACAAAAAACAAAACATCAAATCCAACCCATAATCATTACAATCCTCTCTCACAAAAAAAGTCAAAAAAGCCAAAAAGCCAAAAAGCCCTTCCCAAACCAGGCTAAAATAGCCCAGGCTAAAATAGCCAAAAAGCCAAAAAGCCAAAAAGCCAACCCACTTCCCAAACGGAGGCTTAGTCTTCCCAAACTTGGCCTTAGTTTTAGCTCTATTAACAAATAAAAAAATAATTTAAAAAAAGCCAATGGATATTCTGCTGCCAGGTCATCGCGATGGCTCGACAAATCGACCAACTCATGATCTCAGGCGAGGATCTTTGATCAGATGACAACGGCAGTAATCGCGGTGGTTTATGACCAAATTATTATTATTATTATTGTTATTATTATTATTTTGTGGCGCGGGGGTGTGTGTGGGTGGGTAGGCAGACCAACAAGGCTTCAACTCTAAGCTAAACAAAATCGAGGAACAGAACAGAGAGCTATTGCTTGATCTGGAATTGTAAGTCCCCTTTTCCATCATCCATCCATAGAGAGAGAGAGAGAGAGATGGCTGAAATTGCAGTCAATTTACTAGCGAAGAACTTGAAGGAGTTACTGAGCACCAAGATCGATTTGATTTTGGAAGAGAAGGATTAAATTCAAATCCTTTATGAGGATCTACAATTGCTGAGAACAAATCTGAATGATTTGCAGGTGAAGTTTTTTGAGCACGAACAAGTGAAAAATCTGGAGGCACGAATTAGAGATTTGGCAAAGGAGGCAGAAAATAAGATCGACTCGTTCCGAGTTAACATTTTCTCGACAAAGAATATTAAGATGAAGAAGATGAAGAAGAGGGGGAGGAAGAAGATGAGGGAAATTTGGTGTGCGGTGGAAGAGAAAACGAAGGATCGCTCATTAAAGGAGGACGATCACTCATTAAATCTTGAGCATGTCAAAGAAGAGATCGAGGCCATCAAAACTGAGATGATGGGAATTTATGACACGGGTTTGGAAGCCATACTACAAGTTGGAAGTTGTTCCACCAGTGGAGACTCAGACTCATCAAAATCAAACACAAAGACTTGGGGTGTAGGGGAGGAAGAAATAATGGTGGGATTTGAGGACGAGGCAATGAGCTTAAAAAAGCAACTTACTAGAGGACCAATGCAGCTGCAGGTTATTTCCATTGTTGGGATGGCTGGACAAGGTAAGACTACTTTGGCTACAAAACTCTATGCTGATCCTCTTGTCGTGTACCACTTCCATATTCGTGCTTGGACATCTGTCTTCCAAGAGTATCGAAATAGGGATTTGTTAATTCGCCTTTTAAGTTGTGTTATGAAGCATACGAATGGAATTGATCAGATGGGCGATGAGAAATTATGTGAAAAGTTGCACAAAAGCTTGAAGGGTCGAACATATTTCATTGTGATGGATGATATATGGGATACTAAGGCCTGGTTGATTTGAAAAATTGTTTTCCAAATGACAACAACGGAAGTAGAATTATGTTCACTAGTCGACATGAAAACGTGGCTTTGCAGGCCAACAAACCCAATAACCCACCTCTTTCGCTTCGATTTTTAACTCATAACGAAAGTTGGGATCTGTTTCAACACAAGGTGTTTGGAAAAAGAGAAAATTGCCCTGCGGAGCTCATGGAGATCGGAACGCAAATAGTCAAAAAGTGTCATGGACTACCATTAGCGATTGTTTTGGTAGCTGGAATTTTTACAAATGAAGATAATAGTCCAGGCTGATGAAAGCAAGTAGGAGAAACCTTAAAATCAAATTTGGCTGTTGATCAACAATTATGGATGAAAACATTTGCACTAAGCTACAACCACTTGCCTTATCACTTGAAACTGTGTTTTCTCTATTTTGGAACATTTCCAGAGGACTACGAAATCCGTGTACAGAAGTTGATTTGGTTATGGATTGCTGAGGGATTTATAATAAAAACAAGTGAAAAAAGCTTGGAGGATGTTGGAAATGAATACTTGATGGATTTATTAAGTAGAAATCTCTTATTAGTTTCCAGAAGAGAGTATGATGGTGAAATCAAAGCATGTGGCATCCATGATTTATTGCGTGAATTTTGCATCAAACAAGGTACGGAAGAGTTTTTCCTCCAACGCTATCAGCGAATTTCGGGTTCAATCACTTCTGGCCTAAGACCCCGCTCTTTATTGTGCTTTAACTCTGGATGTGCTGGATCATGGTATCCTCGTTTCCTTTCTCTAAGCTTCAGGCTACTTAAAGTGTTGGATATAAGTTGCATCCAGCTTTTCAAATACCCCTGTGAGGTAGAATTACTAGTTCTCTTGAGGTACTTGGCACTTGAGATCCATTTCACAGAATACCCAGGTACCAGTCAGGCTCAGAAGTATATGTCAGATTTCCTCCCACCCTCAATATTCAACCTCGTGAATTTAGAAACTTTTATTCTTCGCACATCATGTCCTTCGGTTGAGTTACCATATAGCCTTTGCAAAATGTTAAATTTGAGGCATCTTTGTGTTAGTGGAGGAGGGATATACGACATGCAAAGATGCATAAGCAACTTTTTAGTGGTTAATCTACAAACTCTCTCATGGCTAAAACTAGATGACAGCTAACGCTTGGTCGACATTCCAAATCTCAAAAAGCTGGGACTTTGTGGATCTATGCCACATTTAAATTCCTTGATGTTTCCTGATCTACACTTCCTAAACCACCTCCAAGAGTTGAAGTTGTGGATTGAAGGCATATTTACCTGGGGCACACAGATTCTCGAAAGAACTAAGTTACCCCTTACTCTTAGAAAGCTTCCTTTGAAAAATACATGTCTAAAGTGGGATGAGCTGTCAACACTCGGCAAGTCACTACCCAACCTTGAGGGTCTCAAATTATTATATAGAGCTTGTAGAGGTAAGCGTTGGGAAACAAGTGATGGTGAGTTCCCTCGACTCAAATTCTTAAAATTAAGGTCCGTGGAACTTGATCAATGGGAAGTTTCGAGTAATCATTTTCCCAAACTCCAGCGATTAGTGTTAATTCAATGTAATGGGCTCAAGAAGATCCCATATGAAATGGGGGATATACCCACACTCCAGATGATTGAGGTACATTGGTGCCACCCTTCTCTTGCCAATTCTGCCAAGGAAATTAAGGAAGAACAAGAAAGTATGGGAAACAATTTGCTGCAGATGATTGAGTCCAACAATGTTGTGCTTTAATTGAAGTAAGTGTATTAACTCAATCAATCATGTTTTTTGTTTACATATATGTTGTATACATTTCTTGTCAATTTCTGTTATTTTTGTGTGTGTCATTATTAATTCCCGCACTCCCCTTATTTTCTTTATAAGTACTTGATCTAGAAGAAAGATCATTAAGTAGGCACTAGGACTGAATGTTCATGAAAAACTGAAGTTCTGAGATTGTCATTAAGAAGATGAACAACAAAATTCTCAACAAGCTCAAAATTATCTAAATCAATTCTCATAGACACATGAATTGATTCAGATCTAGACGTAGCAATCAAATAAACTGAACACAAATGATTTTAACATGGAAAAAACAATCTCAATTGGAATCCACCGATTGTGATTGTTAAAAAACCACAAGCCAAGAGGCTAAAGCAATTCCACTATGAGAAATGTAGAAAGATCATTAAGTAGGCACAAGTGTCGATCGCACCTTTGATCGCTCGGGCAGTAAACACACCTTTGCAGTATCTATGAGGATTAGACTGAGATCCTGAGAGGTCTAAAACTTTGCTCGAGCGAACCTTTGGTTGCTCGAATAGTGAAATCAATCTTGCAGCATCTTTGAAGCACAGACTGAGGTCCTGAGAGGTAGAAAAGTTTGCTCAAGCGACGCTTGTTTTGCTCAAGTGGTCAGAGACAAATACCATCCTTCTCTGAAACTCAACAGCACAATCCTTGAGAGCTGAAGTCCATGGAAGAACATTCAAGATAGGATTCTCAACTATTCCTCACAACAATACAAACGAAAAGAACGAATACAAATCAAAAGAGTTTGTCACTCAGGATTGCCAAAACAAAGGACCTAACAGTTCACATTCAAGATTTGTAGTTTTATAGGAGACATTAATGTTGAAATTAATTAATTAAGAAAAGGCACAACAAGAAAGGCCTGACAATGGAAATTAATTAAGAATCAAAGATTGTAGTCAAATAAAGAAATGTTAGTTATCAATCTTGTTACTGTTCCAAATACTTTTCTGCACTACTCTCACTAACAATTTTCTCAAAATTGATGGCATTTTAACAAATGAACAATGAAACATTAAGGAAAGTGATACATTTTTATGAACTCAAACAAGTGTTGTAGCTTTCAAGTAGGCAGAGTTCCAGTTTAACTGTATACGATGTTTAGGGCATGCTTTAAATCAAAGATTATATAAGTGAAGTTGCAGCTAAAGGAAGTCATGTAATTTGTGCAAATATGTCTTAAGGTTAAGTTTGTACTAGTCTAACTCTCCCAGCACCTCTAAAGCTTTGTTTGGATCATGATTTAGATAACGATTTGGAAAAGGAAAGGGGAATGGAGCTTATATTTCATTTACATTTGTCTTACCTTTTCCCTTTCCTTTTCCAATTCCCTATCTAAATCCATGAACCAAACACAGCCTTCATGGATTTGAGAAAGGATTTAGAAAGGAAAATGAAAAGGAAAAATGCATGTAAAATGTAAGTAAAATATAATAATATTTTATTCACATTTCACTTACCATTTTCCCTTTCTCTTCCCAATCCTCACCTAAATCCATTTCACTTAGAACAAACCTCAATCATTTGTAGGTAAAGTTTTTTGAGCACGAACAAGTGAAAAATCTGGAGGCACGAATTAGAGATGTGGCATACCAAGCAGAAAATACGATTGACTCGTTTGTAGTTAACATTTTCTCGACAAAGAACAAGATGAAGGAGGCTAGTACGGTGGAAGAGATGAAGTATATTTGGATGGAGGAGATCTCATTAAATCTTGAGCACGTCAAAGAAGAGATTGAGGCCATCAAAACAGAGATGATGGGAATTTATGACATGGGTTTGGAAGCCATACTACAAGTTGAAAGTTGTTCCGAGACTCAGACTCATCAAACACAAACACAAAGACTTGGGGTGTAGGGGAGGAAGAAATAATAGTGGGATTTGAGGACGAGGCAATGATCTTAAAGGAGCAACTTATTGGAGGACCAATGCAGCTACAAGTTATTTTCATTGTTGGGATGGCTGGACAAGGTAAGACTACTTTGGCTAGAAAACTCCATAATGATCCTCTTGTCGTGTACCAGTTCTATATTCGTGCTTGGACATCTATCTCCCAAGAGTATTGAAAGAGGGATTTGTTAATTTGTCTTTTTAAGTTGTGTTATGAAGCATACGAATGGAATTGATCAAATGGGTGATGAAAAATTATGTGAAAAGTTGCACAAAAGCTTAAAGGGTCAAACATATTTCATTGTGATGGATTGGTGGGAGATAGTGGGGGAGTTGTGGAGTGGTTGGTATGTGGATTGGACTTTTTTACCTGCTCTTGGGGTGGCAGGGGGGGTTCTTCTTTGTTGGGATAGAAGGGTGGTGGAAAAGGAGGAGAAAGAGATGGGGGCTTTCTCGATTTCCTATCTATTTCGGTGTGTCGAGGATGATTTTTGTTGGGCCTTTACAGGGGCATATGGGCCGGTACGTGGAGCGGAGCGGCCTAGTTTCTGGGAGGAGTTACAGTATATTGCCTTTCGGTGGGGGGTTCCGCAGGCGGCGACTTTAATGTGGTGAGGAGTATGGAGGAGAAGTTGGGGGCAAGCTCAGTGGTGGCTTTTATGCAGGTTTTTTCTTTGTTCATTGATGAGTTGGAGCTGGTGGATCTGCCGTTGCAGGGTGGTGGCTACACGTGGTCTAGGGGTGGAGTGATGTCTCGGCTTGATCGATTCTTGGTAACAGGGGAGTGGGAGGAGCATTTTTCACAGGTGACTCAACTTCGTTTGCAACGTCCAGTATCAAATCATTAGCCAGTCTTATTGGATAGTGGAGGAGTTAGGAGTGGACCTGCGTCATTTCGTTTTGAGAATATGTGGCTGCTGTTTAAGGGTTTTAAAGCACGGGTGAAGGGCTGGTGGGATAGTTATACTATCTTAGGCTTGCTGAGTTGTCACCTAACGCAAAAACTGAAACTTCTCAAGGCCAGTTTGAAGTGGTGGAATAGGGAAGTGTTTGGGTGCCTGGAGGTCCTGAAGGCCTATGTGCTAGCTATGTTGCAGGAGTTAGATGAGATAGAGACTGCGAGGGGCTTGTCTACGATGGATTTGGTTCATTGAGATGGGGTTCGAAAGGAGTTTGGCCAGGTTGCCTGTATGGAGGAAATCAGCTTTCGGCAGAAATCCAGATGCTTGTGGCTAAAGGATGGGGACCGAATTACAAAGTTCTTCCATCGTATGGCAGATGCCCATCGAAGGGTGAATCAGATAGGTAAAATGCGAGAAAATGGTGTGGAGCCTGAGGAGATCAAGGCAGGTATTGTGGGCTTCTATAAGCAGTTATTTCGGGATGAGGGGGAGGTGTGGCGACCGGGCATGGATGGACTTGCGTTTGATGTTATTTTAGAGGCAGACAATTACCTGCTGGAACGGCCATTTGTGGAAGACGAGGTGCTTGAGGCTTTGCGGAGTATGCCTGGTGATAAGGCGCCGGGACGAGATGGTTTCTCGATAGCCTTTTTCTAGTAGTGCTGGGTGGTGATGAAGGAAATTGTGATGGCTATGTTTGAGCAGTTTCATCAGATAGGGGAGTTTGAGCGGAGCCTCAACGCCACATTTATTGTTTTGATCCCAAAGAAGGGTGGGGCAGAGGATATTCGGGATTTTCGACCTATCAGTTTTTTGGGTAGTGTGTATAAGCTATTGGCAAAAGTGTTGGCGAAGCGGTTACAGGGTGTGTTGGAAGGGGTGGTTTCCGAGTCTCAGAATGTGTTTGTAGGTGGGCGGCAAATCCTGGATACGGTTCTAGTGGCGAATGAATGTGTGGATTCCAGAATTCGACGGGGGAATGAGGGGCTTATTTGCAAACTTGATCTAGAGAAGACATATGATAATGTCAATTGGAAGTTTTTATTTTATATGTTGAACATATTAGGTTTTGGGAATAAATGGAGGAGGTGGATTCAATTCTGTATATCTACAGCACGGATGTCGGTCCTTGTTAATGGGTCTCCAGTGAGATTCTTTCCTACTTAGAGAGGGTTACGGCAAGGTGATCCTTTATCTCCTTTGTTGTTCATTCTGGTGATGGAGGCATTTGGGAGTTTGTTATCTAGAGCGATGCAAGGGGGCTTGTTGCAGGGGTTCGAGGTGGGGGTGGACCCATCAGTTCTGACGGTTTCTCATCTGTTTTATGCGGATAATGCGCTTATTTTTTATGATGCGGATGTTGATTAGATTGGACACTTGAGATATGTGTTGTTGTGCTTTGAGGCAATTTCAGGCCTTCGGGTGAACCTAGCAAAGTCGGAACTAATCCCAGTGGGTCAAGTGGAGAGGACTCCGGTGTTGGTAGCCATTCTGGGATGTAAGGTGACGTCTCTGCCAGTTTCATATTTGGGTTTACCTCTAGGGGCATCTTTAAGGCAAAAGGGGTATGGGCTGGGGTGGTGGATCGCGTGCAGCAGCGGTTGGTAGGATGGAAGCGGCAATATTTATCAAAAGGGGGCAAAATCACGTTGATTAAGAGTGTCTTATGTCCGCTCATGTGATCCTGATGTTAGCGGCAAAGCGGATTGAGAAGTTGTAGAGGGATTTCCTGTGGGGTAATGAGAGGGAAGGTTCTTATCATTTGATGGCTTGGGATCGGATTTGTAGTCCTAAGGTCAATGGGGGTCTGGGGATTCAGAGGTTGGTCTTGTTTAATATGGCTTTGTTGGGGAAGTGGTTGTGGCGTTTTGTGGAGGAGAGGGATCGTCTTTGGAGAAGGGTGGTGGTTGCGAAGTTTGGTGAAGGGAGGGGAGGGTAGTGTTCAGGCCGGGTCGGGCAGTCTCATGGCCACGGACTTTGGAAGGGGATTTGGGTGGGGTTGGAGGAGTTTTGGAGGAGGGTTAAGCTGAAGGTAGGAGTGGGGGACAGAGTTCGGTTTTGGCGGAATAAGTGGTGTGGTGACTTTCCTTTAGAAGCACGGTTCCCTTTGATTTTTGGTATAGCCGTTGATAGTGAGGTGTTGGTGGATGTTG